GAGAATCTTCCTCAACCTGTTATTGATTTCATCATTCCTCTGCTCAATGGTATCCAGAGCTGAGTTCAGGGCATCAAGTTCAGCATTCAGTTTCAAGAATTCTGAAAATGCAATGTTATACATTACCACAATGAAATTTGTTAAATCTTTAAAATAACTAATCAACTACAGATGCAAATGCCCTAACTAAATACTGTATACTAATTTAAACCACAGCTTTAAAAGGATAAACTACCAAAAGAAAGAGAATACAAGCATTGTACTGAATATATGGTAAAAAATTTGAAAAAAAGATAAATGAATGCCTTATCTAGAATGAGTACAGAAGAAAATGAGTACAAGAGAAAATAACAATTTCACTATTCTTAACCTACAGCATTCCCATTCGTTCAGGGGCTGAACCCTAGTCCGTCAGTATGTGAACCTAGAACACCGTTAATTCCTGATAATCTTTTTTCCTATAATCTGAGAGAACATTTTTATATCAAGTATTTTCAACGTAATTATTACAGTCACTAATCTTTGGTGCTGAAGTAATCATTTACAGACAATCATGGCTTAGTGATGCGACGTCTTTTACAACAGGCAATTGTAGCTTAGGAGACAGTTACTAAATACCAAGGCATGTGTTACGTTACTATGTCATATATGAGAATTTCTTACCCTGTTCACCATATTCTTCATCCTCGTTATCGTTGGTGTCTGTCTCACTCCCCTCACCCTCAGCAGGTTCATTACTCATCTCCATGTTTTCTTTCTTCATATTTTGTTCTTCGTGTGCCAGCTCTGTACAGTATAGATCGTCACGTTCTTCTTTATGTAACGTACAGTGCTAACGTCTTATCTTCTTTATTTTAAGTGCAGTGCCCTTGATTACGCCTCTTCCCTCACGATATGGAGCAGCTAACTTTTGTCTTGTTTACATTATAGTCACCTGACCTGGCCGCGTTCAACCATCCTTCAATGTTGCGTTAAAAATCAGATTTCTGAAAGAATATTAAAATTAGAATTATTTTTATTTCTCGAAAATCATAACCAAAGCTTCGCCTTAAATCCAAGCATCATCATGCCTTAGCCACACACAAATTATGTGGATGGCTCTTTTCACCTATCCAGAAAGGGAGGAGAATTATTTTGTTTCTAGCTAACACATGTGTAAATATAAATAACTCATTTTATCTTATCCCTAGTATATCTCTTTTATAGTATAATAATAAGATATTATCTCCTTTATAGTATAATAATAAGTAAAGTAAAAGGACACAAGTGCAACTAATGTGACATTTTATTGTGGCAACTTTTCGCTCTCCAGGAGCTTTATCAAGCCGCTCCTGGAGAGCGAAACGTTGCCACAATAAAATGTCACATTAGTTGCACTTGTGTCCTTTTACTTTACATATTGTCGGTAATTCTACCAACATTATTACATAATAATAAGGTATTAAAAGGACCCCAATGGAAATAAGTCACTGATTTTTTTTTGGGTTATCCCAGGTTCTCTACACATATGTTGCTATGTATGATAATCTATGTAACTGTATTTGTGAATACCTGAATAAACTTACTTATTTACTTACTTAATCAAAGTAACATATTGACCTAAGCCAGTCAGGTCGAAGTTACAGAAAGACGCACGACATCAGACCCACTGGCCCAAGACAGTCAAGTCCAATCTAACATTGTATGTAGATGAATGGTTCAGAGAACCGACACGTTGATAAATTAGACACATGTAACATTTGGGTATCTTTAATGAGGAAACATTTCGCCACACAGTGGCTTCATCAGTCCATACAAAGGAGAATGGTGAGGGATAGGAGTTTGAGGTAATCAGTCCCAGCTGAGGGACTGATTACCTTGTAGATGAATGGTTCAAAGAACCGACATGTTAAATTATCTTTATTGAGGAAACGTTTCGCCACATAGTGGCTTCATTAGTCCATACAAAGGATAAACTTGAAGAACAGGAGGAGAATGAGGTAATCAGTCCCTCAGCCTTGAGTCGATGTGGTCAGTCCATCAATCTTGAATAGAATACGGCATATGAGCGGAGAAGCAGCTTATAAACCGTATGGCAGGAGAGGTGCAGCAGTCGTAGGTGGTGTCACATTTGTCCAATGTGGAAGTAGGTCGTGCCCAAGGGTTAGGCAAGCGAAGAATTCCCAAGTATTAAGATCCCAAGAAGTTGCAGTGTCTGACAGGATTGTAGATGAATAGTTCAAAGAACCGACACGTTAAATTAGACACATGTGCAACTCTTGGGTATCTTTATTGAGGAAACGTTTCGCCACACAGTGGCTTCATCAGTCCATCAGTCAAGTTTATCCTTTGTATGGACTGATGAAGCAACTGTGTGGCGAAACGTTTCCTCAATAAAGATACCCAAGAGTTGCACATGTGTCTAATTTAACGACTGATTACCTCAAACTCCTCCTATCCCTCACCATTCTCCTTTGTATGGATTGATGAAGCCACTGTGTGGCGAAATGTTTCCTCATTAAAGATACCCAAATGTTGCATATGTGTCTAATTTATCAACTAACATTGTATATTTTTAGAAATAAATTACGGCAAAAGTCATAAGGACCAGATCTCTATGGTTACCTTCCCTTAAAAGGACCCTAGTGACAAAGGCAATATTGCATTATCCTGAGTTACTAGTTCTCCGGGTTCATAAGTAAGTTTATTCAGGTAGACATAATTACAATTACTTAAGTTATCATACATAGCAGCATATATGTAGATTACCTAGGATGACCTAAGAAAGTCAGACAAAGTGACTTATTTCCACTGGGGTCCTTGTAATACCTTATTATTTTAAGCAGTAAAAGGAGATATGATAGGACAGAGGATTATATTAGATTTTGCCACTGAAGTGGCTAGTTTATTGTGCACATCATATCCATCCTGTGGACGGTAGCGCAAGAAACATATGGATACACAAAAGGCCTAGGAACTAGACCCCAAAGGGTTAACAGGAATACATATGGATTTATATCTACATATCTATAGTTCAATTATCTGTTACGAGCAAATTTAGGAAATTTGCTTAGTATATCTTGTATCTTATTTACATTAATAAGATATCTTGACATGTCACATAGGGACAAAGGTAAATTGAGTTATTTACATTAAAGAGAGGACAGATCACAGTAATGGGCACATGTATGTTATACCAGAAATCACTTTCTTTCTGTCGCTACATTTATTAAGTACCTTTTATCTTTCTTCTTGAACAGGTTCATGCTATAACAGACTTTGACATGTGCAGGCAGTTTATTCCTCGCCTTTATTGCTATACAATAAAATGTGTTTGATATACATAATCCAAATAAAATCTTCTAAAATCACATTTTCCAATCATATTTGATTATCTTAGGTTAAAGCTACATAATATACATATTCCAATAACTTGTGTGTACTCATGACAATTGCAAAGAAATTATGTATCTAATGCCTAAAAGAAATTAAGGATACATTGATTTAAACTTAGCGGGCTTAGATGGATTACGCAAGCGGTGCGTCTAACACACCTCCCTACAAGTGACATAATATAACCTGAAGGTAAAACAGTGACTTACATGGAGATGCTTGTAGGTAAGTATGATGCTGAGGTCAGGCGGTAATTTATCCAGTTACTAGACAGATTCATGAGAGCTTCATTTGACTCCCCAAACGACGCGTACAATCCTCCATTTTGAAGTCCGCTTAGGAAACAGTGTACGATAATGACCCATATTATATGTATTGTAAGTTATAATAATAATAACTTTAATTCTATAAGTACATGTACAAGGTATACAGGCCTAGCTGACATCGATGACATATTACTATATAGAAAGACGCTTGTTATGCAGAGCATTTTGGGCAAATTAGGTCAGTTTTGTCCCAGTATTTAGTATTTAGTCACTTAGCCATAATACCAACTTACCTCATAATTTGTAATATTTTACAATTAAGAATAAAACTAAGTATGCCCGAAATGCCTAGCCATGCTAAGCGTTCTAGTGGTACACTCTGTAATCACAATTTTACTACATGTAAACCAAACAATAACCAAATTTCTGTAAACTCAGCATTATAATCCTTATAGAGAATAAACTTTGAATTTGAATTTGAATAAAATCTTGCAATGTAAAGGATGCGACCCACACCAGTCGACTAACACCCAGGTACCTATTTTACTGATGAGGAACATAGACAATAGGTGTAAAGAAACACTCCTAATGTTTCTACGCTCGCCGGGAATCGAAGCCGGACAATAGCCGTGTGAAGCGAGAGCTTTAACCACCAGGCTACTGGGCACAATTTATTCATGTATACACAAATACAGTTACATAGATTGTCACACATAGCGGGTTAGGTAAGTTTTCTAAGGTTCTTTTGTAACAAAATTATTAATTTTTACATTAGCATCAATTTTAAATGAGTTCTTGCTAATTGACCAGTTTTACCCATTCGGTACGACATAATATATATTTATATATGTATGAAAAGGTGTATTTCTGTGTATATACACTGAAAATGATTTTAATTGTTAACAGGGGATTTACACCGAGAAATATATACATATAACAAACGCTAATACACAAAGTTTATTCTAATCGTTTTGTTTTGCATCAACAATAGTCTGTTTAACAAGAAATTTTGTCTTATATAAATAATGTGGATTCGCATGTGTTTGACGTATATCAGTATTGTATATTTTAAGGGTGAATAAATAATGTTTATTTTATGCTAACAATACTAATAATTAGCAGAAAGAGATGCTAATATCGAATTAGCTTATCAAATATCATTTATTATTACAAGTATAACAAGAACTGTACATAGTACGAGGTTCCTTTGTCTTGGTGAATGATGCCAAATATATCAATTTGATATTAAAAAAAATAATAATTAATATCTTCATGTATAAAATTACAAAACAATAATGTATGCATCACGCTGGGTTTCATTTATACGTTAAGGAAATGATTTAAACAAAGCTGCATCGCATTAGACTTAAGTTGTCAAAATCTGTGATAAGTGATGGTGGTGGTGTTGAGTGTGAGAGGTGGCAACAGCGCAACATTCCCGGGACACGCCAGACACCGACCCGTTACTGACGCCATTTTACCCGGCTTGTAATATCTTCTTAATACTACTTGATACAGGTGAGAGTTGTACTCTGATGTTCTTGTACTGGTGCTTTAATGTACGTTTGGTCGTATTTTGTATATGCTTGTGAACTGGGAAGACGAATGTGTGCGTATTTTGAGTTTAGAAGTGGAGGCGCGAAAACTCCATATGCGCCCTAGATGCCGCCAGTCTTGGTGTACAAGCTGCTTTGTTTTTTGGGTTTACAAAGTATGTGTTTTAATGTTTTCGAGACGAGTGAATTTGTGTTGTCATGTGTTTGGTCCAGGTATACTGAATATAAGTTTGAAGTACATATTTTAATATACGGTTGGTATAAGGTTCAAGATGGTGCCTTTTTTTTTTTTTAAGGCAGAATACACTGTGGTAAGATTACACCAGCGTCGGCTCGAATATTTATGAGCGAGAGACCTACTACTTATATTCACTAGCTGTAAATAGGCACCCAGGTGTAGACTTGTGGTTTTCATGTTTTCTTGGGAACTTAAAATATTGTTTTTGATTCTTAACCTTCCAACCCGGAGGTTTAGCTACCCAGGATAATCCATTAAAATCACTGTGTCATCGGGGACTGTCTTATTTCCATTGGAGTCCTTTAATCTTGTTCCCCAGGATGCGACTGCAAGTTTGCTAACACCCAGGTACCTAATTATTGATAGTTGAACAGGCTGCTGTTTTTGGGCTGTCCTAAGTTTAAGTAAATTTTACAGATACTTAAAGCAGAGGATAACAGTAATAGGTAGATCTGCTGGCCCCTGCAAAGGGTCAGTAGACAGTTTTTATTAAAAATTTTAAACTATTAGATGTATTTGCCTACTCAAAATTTATATATTAAAGTTTATATGTTACGATAATTTTCTATTTTGTTTTCATTATGCTTGAAATTCAGTAAAATTGTTAACATCTTTTGTTAGGATGGCCGACCAAGAGACTGATCTTCTAGATTATGAAGAGGACGAAGAACCAGTGGAGCCAGCAGCAGGAGAGACCAATGAAGCTCCCCCAGTCAAGAAAGATGTTAAGGGTACATACGTATCGATTCACTCCTCGGGGTTTCGGGACTTCCTACTCAAGCCAGAGATTTTACGATCCATTGTAGACTGTGGTTTTGAACATCCATCTGAAGGTAAGAAACAAGTTGTTGATTATTTGCTTCCGTAAACATTTAAAAAAAAATTAGGATGTGTTACATTGATTGGTGGTGCTTGTGGCTCATACTGAGGCACTGGTATTCGATCCTTGGATGAGCAGAAATGTTTGAAGTGTTTCCTACACCTGCCCTGTTCACCTTGCAGTAAGTAGGTACCTGCGTGTTAAGCGACTAGTGTGGACTGCATCATGGGAGAATGGACTAAGGAACACCATTGGAAACGACAGTCCGATGACATCCTGTCTATTTGGTTATCCTGGATTACCCTCTAGTTTATTAATAAAAACAAATTATTTGTAACAGTAACACTCAAATTCAAGTGTTTAAGTTATCCACTGTCTCTTATTTTTTGGCTTGGTGCATGACTCTTAAATTGAACATGAAGATATGATTACTGGATTTCCTGCACTCATCTTTCACATGAATATCCATATTAATATGGAAAGGTTATATAAAAAGCTTTATTTTACAGTGCAGCATGAGTGCATTCCTCAAGCTGTGCTGGGAATGGATATCCTTGGGCAGGCTAAGTCTGGAATGGGCAAGACAGCAGTGTTTGTATTGGCAACTCTGCAACAGATTGACCCAGTTGATGGCCAGGTATGTTAACATTTTCACTCTTCAGACAGTATTACTCTCCTTGGAGGCTTTTCCAGTAAGGTGTATGTTGCACTCCAGTTAACCCTCTGAACTGTATATTCCATTATTAAAAATGTTTAAACTGTTTTGTTCCCCTCGGTTTCAGAAATTCTCATACCATAACCTGTGACTTTTGCCTTTTTTTCTAATGTATCAGTCCTTGTTACATTATATTAGACAACATATTAAGGCCTTGAACCTTCTTGCTGCAACCTTTAATAACTATTTCATAAATAAAAAGCATCTTCACTTTCTGCTTTATCATTTTCTCGTGCATTGATACTTTCTATCTACAGCACATCTTAAACCTTTTTTCTTGGAATTTCCTCATTCCCTTTTTTCCTCATTCCCTTTTTGACTTCGTTGGTACAATACATCTATACTTAAATATAATTAAACAGTATTCACTGCCTCCATCATCTCTGAATTATGTCCTGATCTTAGGCATTCACAGAAGTGGGGTGCAAAATTATTTGTTGCCTTTTAGCTGTTGTACATCTAAAGTAACTTGTAGTGATCACTTGTGTCTTTGAAGATCCACTCATTGGACGTTTCCTTTCTCTGCAGTAATGTGATTTTTTTTTTTTTTTTTTTATGAATTGAAATTTGTAGATAAATGTGCATGTTTTCCATGTAGAGATCATGTGCCATTTAGAAAAAATAAGGTTACCTCAAATGAAAGCAAGCCCAGTATGCTTTAACCCTTTCAACATTTCTCGCATATCTATTATTGATGCCACTGTTCACGTAATCTGTTTTCAGCATAGCACCTTCAAATATTCTGCAAGTTGTAAATTTTGACCTAAACCTGTGAGAATAAGTCTGAAGTGACTGTACACAGTATTAAAAAAAAAATTGCTCTATGTGGTGCATGATGGGAAAAGCAGACCTTTGGCCTTGGGTTGGTTTAAAATGGCAACTTTGAGTAGGTTTTCTAGGGTGACTTTTATGGTTTTACTTGCTGCTGCTTGGTATCATTTGATAGAATGGAAGACATGCTAGTGACATGATTTTGGTCAGTTTGAAGACCAGGAATAGCTTGAAATAGGACTCAAAGTAGCGGAAACACAGTATATTCGGCTTTTTGGCGAATTTCCTGAGGAAGGGTGGGGCCCCCATTATTTTTTTGTATTTTTCTGATGGATTTAAAATGGAGGGGCAGATGTTATACATGATTAATTTACAGAGGTTAGGTTGCTTTAGTGACTGGAATTTAGAGTGTTTTGTCCTCTTTTGTTAATGGAATTTTGTGTAGAATTGGCCAATTTCTCTTGTGCACTTTGTAAGGTAAATCTGATAGTTGAATAGGCTGTTTTGTGACCATTAAAATAGAAGGCATACTAATAACATAACCAAAAATTTAGTTGACTTGAGCAATGGAATTGGCTTACAATAGGACACAAGGTAGGCAAAATTGCCACTGCATATATGGCATCCAGAGTGCCAGTGTTGCAGCTGCATTATTCTGCGAGCTTTCCATCAAATTTCGCATTAGTTATTGGCTACAGGTTCATTCTCTCTATTTTGCTCTTTCTTTTTTCTTTCTCTTTCTTTCTTTCTCTTTTCTCTTTCTCTTTCTTCTTTCTTTTCTCTTTCTTTCTCTCTTTCTTTCTCTCTTTCTCTCTCTCTCTCTCTTTCTCTCTCTCTCTTTCTCTCTCTCTTTCTCTCTCTCTTTCTCTCTCTTTCTCTCTTTCTCTTTTCTCTCTCTTTCTCTCTCTCTTTCTTTCTCTCTCTCTCTCTCTTTCTCTTTCTCTCTCTCTTTCTTCTCTCTCTCTCTCCTCTTCTCTTTCTCTCTCTCCTCTCTCTCTTTCTCTCTTCTCTTTCTCCTCTCTTTCTCTCTCTTCTCTCTTTCTCTTTCTCTCTTCTCCTTTCTTTCTCTCTCTTCTCTTCTCTCTCTCTCTCTCTTCTCTCCTCTCTCTTTCTCTCTCTCTCTTTCTCTTCTCTTTTCTCTCTTCTTCTCTTCTTCTTTCTTCTTTCTCTCTCTTCTTCTCTTTTCTCTCTTTCTCTTTTTTTCTCTCTTTCCTTTCTCTCTCCTTTCTCTTTTTCCTCTCTTTCTCTTCTCTTCCTCTCTTCTTCCTCTCTTTCTCTCTCTTCTTCTCTCTCTTTCTCTTTCTTTCTCTCTCTCTTCTCTCTCTCTCTTCTTTCTCTCCTCTTTCTTTCTTTCCTCTTCCTCTCTCTCTTTCTCTCTCTCTTCTCTCTCTCTTTCTCTCTTTCTCTCTTCTCTTTTCTCTCTTTCTCCTTCTCTTCTCTTCTCTCTTTCTCCTCTTTCTTTCTTTCTCTCTCTCTTTTCTCTTCCTCTTTCTCTTCCTCTTTCTCTTCTTCTCCTTCTTTCTCTTTCTTTTCTCTCTTTTCTCTCTCTTCTCTTCTCCTTCTCTCTCTCTTTTCTCTCTCTCTTTCTTCTCTCTTCTCTTTCTCTTTCTCTCTTCTCTCTCTTCTTCTCTCTTTCTTCTCTTTTTCTCTCTCTTTCTCCCCCTTCTCTTTTTCTCTCTCTCTTTCTCTCTCTTTCTCTCTCTTTCTCTCTTTCCTTTCTCTCTCTCTTTCTTCTCTCTCTTTCTCTCTTTTTCTTTCTTCTCTCTCTTTCTCTCTCTCTTCTCTCTCTCTTTCTTCTCTCTCTTCTCCTTCTCTCTTCTTTCTCTCTCCTCTTTCTCTCTTCTTTTCTCTCTCTTTCTCTCTCTTCCTCTTTCTCTCTCTTCTCTTCTCTCTTTCCTCTCTTTCTCTCTTTCCTTTCTCTCTTCTCTCTCTTTCTTCCTCTTTCTCTCTCTCTTTCTCTTCTCTTCTCTCTTCTCCTTCTCTCTTTCTTTTCTTCTCTCTTTCTTCTCTTTTTCTCTCTCTCTTTCTCTCTCTCTTTCTCTCTCTCTCTCTCTCTCTCTTTCTCTCTTTCTCTCTTTTTTTTTTTTTTTTTTTTTTTTTTAACACAGGGTTTGACAAGGTTAAGGATCCCTAGCTTTATTGACAGCTATATTACAGGTTAAGGATTCCTAACTTTATTGGCAAGCTAAGAGCTGTTACCTACATCAGCTCATTTGAAAGCATTTTTATTGTTATGAGACATACAAGTACGGGACAGGATGAAGTTGGAGCCATCTGTGGGCCAGCATTTTCATTTGATCAACTGACTTTATCTCGTTGATATCATTATGCTGTACGAATGTGTTCCATACTCGAGTCATCCTGGGTATGTATGATCTCAGATGGAGTGATGTTCTGGAGAAGGGTACAGCCAGAGTGAAGTTGCTGCTTTCTGCCCGTCTTGTGGCATAAAAGCTTGTTTCACGCTGTCCTCGAAGTGGATCCAAGTGTGGTATTTTGACAATATTGGCCTTGTACATAACAGTAAGGCCACCCACATCCCTCCTATGTTGAAGGCTCTGCTGAAATGACAGATCTATCCAGGATGGGTCCAGGCGAGAGATGAGACGTCTTGCTCTGTTCTCTACTCTGTCCAGCAGTCGCAGATGAGAGGGGGGGCAGGCAAACCAAGAAAGTGGAGCATACTCAAGGTGTGAGCGTACTTGTGCCTCGTATAGGATCTTGCAACCCCTACTGTCAAGCAGATGCGAGATACGGCGAAGTGCTGTAAGCTTCCTGGCTGCCTTGTTTGCAAGATTTACAACATGGTTCTTCATGGTTAGTTTGGAGTCAAATTTCACCCCAAGGATATCAACTTCTTCTCCAGGTGCCAACATCCTCCCATTCATCCTTACTACTGCGCCAGCATTACCATCATGGTGCCTAGAGACGATCATCATTTGCGTTTTCTCAGGTGCAAATGTTACTTGCCATCTATTTCCCCAAGCTGATATAGCTCTCAGCTGGTGATTGATGTAGACTTAGAGCAGCTGGCATTTCTTCTCTTGGATAAGTGAATGTCAGTGTACAGTCGTCTGCATATGCATGTGATTCTGGGATGAGATGAAGAAGGTCGTTGAAGTAGACATTCCATAACAGTGGACCCAGCACGCTTCCTTGTGGAACGCTTGCCCCAATAGGATGCCTTGCTGATTCCGTTCCATTGAGGACTACACTTAGAGATCTACCATGAAGGTAATCACTGAGGAGACATAGCGTAGAGCCTGCAATTCCCAGTGCTTGAAGTTTTGCTAAGAGGCCCTGGTGCCACACCCGGTCGAAAGCGCCAGCAATGTCCAGTGCTACCACACAGCTGACTTTGGATTCATCCAGTGACTGGTGCCACTTAGTGGAGAGGTTTAGCAACAGATCAGCAGCAGAGTAACCTTTCCTGAAGCCATATTGACGATCACAAAGTAGTGAGTGGTAGTCAAAAAAATCTGTCATTTGTCTTGAGATAATTGTTTCAAGGATCTTACCAGTGATTGACAGGAGTGACACTGGTCTGTAATTGCTGATTTCTGCTCTGCTCTTTTTTATGTGAACAGGGACTACATTTGCCTCTTTCCATGGAGAGGGCCATTTACACTGTACTAGGCAGTGCTGAAAGATGCGAGTTAGAGGTGCTGCTAGCTGGTCTGCACATCTTCTCAACAATCTTGGGCTCAACTTGTCTGGGCCCACAGCCTTTTCTTGGTCAAGTGATTTAAGAAGGAAATGCACCTCCTCCTGCCTTATTGTCACCACTGACAGTTTTGACACAGTTCTTGCAGC